TGACATTTTGATTTTGTTCTAATATATCTTGCTGTCTCAGAGAGTCATTGATTTCTGTTTCATCTATTCTAGTTTTCAAGGCATCTGTTAACTTGGGTAAGGTTTGCCACTTTATCTTCTAAGCTACTTTTTCACCTTCCAATTTTTCCTTCCTTTTACTTCGTTTTTCATCTCTCGCTTAGTTTCTTATAGGTATTCTTGTAGCCCTTGTGGAAAGTCCGCTTTTCCCCTTTGAGCCTCTACTTAAAATTGTTATAAAGTTACTTTTTCCTTCTTTTGGCATATCTCTAGATTTGCAATACTTTTTTTATACTGTTCAGTGCCTTTCTTGGTTTACTCATCCTTCCACCTTCAGTTTCTGAATTTTTTTCCAGGTGCTTTGTGTAAGGGTCAGGCTTCATTTATTGCCATGCTTTTGGGTGTGACTATTGGCCCTTTTTAGTCTCACTCTGGTTCACCTGGATTCCTTTGTTGATTCCTTTCTCTTGGAGTTAGGTACCCCTAAATCTTTGAGATCCAGCCTGTTGGATATTCCAGGACTATACAGCGACTCGAGGCAGAATGCAATTAGGCAATTATCTTGGTCAGAAGTTCTTTTAAATGTTGCATTGATGCTTTTTTCTTTTTTTTCTTCCTTATTTTTTGGCATCCTTATTACTATCTACTGTCCTTATCTATCATCCTAATTATATCCCTATCTATCTATCTATCATTATTACTGTCTACTATCCCATTATTACTATTCCTATCCACCCCTACCCCAAAGCCTTCCGTAGTGCAAATAAGTGCAGTCAAATCAAACAAATCAACATGCTGGCTGTTTCTGAAAATGTACATATCACCTTGATCTTCTAGTCCAGGTGTTGGAAAACTATTGCCTGGGTCAAATCTGTCCCTCTGCATGTTTTTGTATGTCATGGGAACTAAAAATGGGTGGGTTTTTTTTTTTTACATTTTTAATGCAATAGAAAGTAGGGAAAATATCCTTAGCTCTCAAGGGCCTCATTGGAGTTTGCTGATCCTTATCTCCCTGCGTGGAAGCTTTTTTCCTTCTAGCCAGATGAGCATTGCTGTATCTTTTACCCCTCCCCTAGTTTCTCTTCTTTCCTTTGTGTAGATGGGCAAATTAGTTATCTTCTGTCTTTTGTGTTTTGTCCATCTACACAGACTGTAAAGGAAAGAAGAGATGGCTTATGTTAAGTCATTATAATAGAGGAAATGCCAGGGACTCCTACAGCTGTAACCTGAGGTACAAGACTGTAAGCTTTCTTGTGCTGACTGAACTTGGTATGGAAGGGGAAGGGAGATGCTGAGTGGGGAGCTTGAGGTATGACGGTTATTCAATGTTAGTCCATAAGGCTTTTTACAGCATGAGACTTTCTGACTTCTTATCTTGCATATTCTGCTTTATTTGTTCTCTATATATGGCCTATAATTATTTATGAGGTTTTTCCTTTTTTTTTTAGGTTGGAAAGTTTTATAGAAAACAACTGTTCTTCCATATTATTGATAATATCATCTCAGCAAATGCATTTATTGGGTATACAGCCTCCTTCATTTTACTTCACAGAAAATTTATAACCTGCAAAGGACTCAAAAAAGTCCCCAAATAATGCTGAAAACACGTCAAGGATTCACAATGACCCATTAACAATTGGAATTATTCTCCATTTCAGGTAGTTTCCAGTGTAACACAGGGTCCCAAAGTCACTAAGTGTCCCTTGTGATTTGGACTTCTCTCAAAGGGAACTGAATATGAGGTTGTTAGTTGGAGACAACCATGCAAACACTCCATTAAATGTCTTTCTCAGAGGGACTGTTTAGTCTTCCCTGCCCACAGACTTGTAGTGCCATTCTATGTCTTGGACTTCCCATGGAAGAGAAAAAAAACTTTGGAGCTGCTATATGATCCTCTTCCCACTGCACCAAAATCATCTAAATGACTTAAGGTAATAGCAAAAGGCAATACCCATATCCCTTCTCTCCCATGTAATGGCCATAGTCCTTTGGCATTTCTCTTCCCACCACTTACAGCCACACGGACAATCATTTTTTCTCTTTAAGAGGCATGGGGCCACATTCTCTTGCTCTTAATCGATAACAGTTTTGATACTGGTTTATAATGTAATTTGATATCAGATAAAGCTAGATTACTTTAATCCATATTTTTTGTTCTTGTATTGGTGTGAGTGTGTTAGAAGATCAAGGAAGTTCTCTTTATGGGTTCAATTCAATGAGTTTACAAGCTTTTTGGGGAGACTTTTGAATGTATCTTTCTAAAGAGACTGTGAACCTGCCCATTGACTTGTAGTGCCATTCTGTGTCTTGGACTTAAATTCTCAAACTTGGCATAATTTGCAAAGCAATCTCCGAGGCTGTTATTTCCTAAGAAATCTTCCTTTTCTGACTAGAAGATAGTCAGACAATAAATCAGTCAATTAACAAGCATATATTAAGCACCTGCTATGTGCCAGGCACTGCTGTAAGCACAATTCACTTCTTGTCCTCAAGGAATTCACAATCTAATGACAATCTCATAATGAGACAGGTGTCAAAAAAAAGATTATCTTGGAAGCCCTTTCATGAGTCAAGTAAGGGAATTTATGCCTGTCTCTAACATTTGAACTTGAACATTAATACTTTTTTGGTCTGTTGCTATATCTTGATATGAAAAAAAAAACCCATATCTTTAAACTTATGTTCTCAGACAATGCTTAGAAAAGGGGAAAAAGGCAAAAAAGTCCTAGCAAGTTAGGGTACAGAAACTCTCCCCTCTGGTCACGTGAGTAAGCAAATGTAGCAAGTCCTTCACCCCACTGGGGTGTTGTGATGGCTGAATCACATGTGCCTAGAATTAGAAAGATCTGAATCCAAATTTAGTCTCAGATTCTAGCAGATGACCCTGGTAAGTCACTTAAATACCTTCTGCCTCAGTTTCCTCATCTGTAAATTGAGAATAATGATAGAACCTATCTCCTACAGTGAGAATCAAATGAGATATTATGGGTAGCCAGAACATTATAGAAGTTTAATAAAGGCTTGTTTTGTTCTTCCCCTTTCATTTCTTTCCCTTCCCTTTCCTTCCCTTCATTCCCAACTATAGTCTCAGAATCTCTTCAAAGCAAAAGAAGAAAAAAGGTAAAAGAAAACTTGAGTTCATAATGATGTCTCATTTATATAGCAGTAGCTGCTCCAACATGATTCCATTCTTCCTAAAGTCCAAGCCAACAAATTGAACTTGGAGGCATCTTCAATCAATAACTCAGATTCATCTCTGAAGAGACTCCAAACAAACCATTTAATTATGGGTATCCTTAGTTACTGTGACAATCAGGAGATGTCAATGGGCAGGTTCACAGTCTCTTTAGAAAGATACATTCAAAAGTCTCCCCAAAAAGCTTGTAAACTCATTGAATTGAACCCATAAAGAGAACTTCCTTGATCTTCCAACACACTCACACCAATACAAGAACAAAAAATATGGATTAAAGTAATCTAGCTTTATCTGATATAAATTATGTTATAAACCAGTATCAAAACTGTTATTGATTAAAACAGAAAAGTGGAATAGACTAGATAAGTAAGATTTAGAAGCAAATGAGCACAATAATCCGATGTTCAACACATCCAAACTGCTTGGTGGTAGTGAGTCTTTATTCAATAACAGCTGCCTGGGGGGAAATGAAAAACAGAGTGGCATAAAATATAGTTAGACCAGGCTGTTACACCACATATGATAATAAACATCAAATGAATGAACAATCTATTTATATACAAAAATATATATCATTATAAAATAAAGAATGAAAAATACATGTTTCACAACTGTCAACAGGGAAAAATTCACAGCAAGATATGGAACAGAGAAGATTATAAAAGGCAGAAGAGAAAATTTTTATTTCATAAAGTTAAAAGCTTTTGCATTAACAAAATCAATTCTTCCAGAATAAGAGTGAAAATGTGCATTGGGAAGATGTTTCCTTCAAGCATTTCTGATAAAAATCTGACATTCAAAATTGATAGATAACTGACATACACATAAAATTAGAATCATTTTCCAATAGACAAGTGGTCAAAGGTTTGAACAGGAAGCAAAGATATGAATAGACAGTTCTCAAAAGAAGAATGACCAATTATCATTAAAAAGAAAAGAAAAGAACAAAACCTTAACATAATTTCAACAATTCAAGAAGCTCACAGTGAGGAACTCCTGCCAATGTAGACTGGCATCTGCTCTGCAACTTAGTTTTAAACAGTTGCCTAGGCCCCTGGGAGTTTAAGTGACTTTCCACAATTTTCATAATCACTAACAATTGAAATTAAAATTTAAACAGCATCCTTGCTCCAAGTCTTCTTTGTGGCCACATATCCCAGGAAAACAATTGAAATCTAGGGGAGGCAAGCTTGGGATCTGAGACCCAGCTTCTAATTTTACATTGCCACTGTACAGCTGTGAGCAAGCCATTTCATTTCTCTGGGCTACATGTCTATTATCTGATTTGTAAAATGATGGGTTACCATGAGATGCTTTAAAATTTAAAGATTTTTATTATTCCAAGTTACTAAGTCCAGTGCACTTCCAGTATTAGGGGAGGGAGAGAGGGCAGGCAGTGCTTCTTGCTGCTGTAGGTACAGACATCCCCCACTGCTCCATCCTTCCTCCCCAGTACACCCACACACTGCTTTCTTCTGGGCTCAGGAAGCAGGAGCAGAAGCATTGGTTCTCTCTGGCGCGGGCGGCTCCACAGCAGCCTGACCAGAGGGAGAGAGGGAGGAAGGGAAGATAGGTAACTGAGGTTGCGTTGCAGGAATCGAAGAAGAAATCTTAATTGGGGAATATTTTTCTCTTTCTACATTTTGCCTGCTCCATCTCCTACCTCCCCCTCTTCTCAACATACACCTCAGTTGTGGGGAAAGGAAGTGATTCGACGTCACTGACTCCGACATTTCATTCACCAAACGCGGGGTGGGGGGTGGGGGGGTGGGGAGAAGAAGTTCTGGGTAAGTCCTTCTGCCTTTGCAAAGCCTTGGGGAAGCAGTTGGAAAGCAGCCGATGCCCACTTCTGCCAGACTATGCCCCTGAGTACTGCTTAGTTATCCGCAGAGACAGTGGGGGAGGGAACAGGCTCTCCTAGCTTATTGAGAGCCCCCCTTCCCAAACCTCTTCCGAACCTGGCACAAGATTTTATATTTGGCATTGATGTTTGACTCAGGATATGGACCAAGGCAGTCTCACCAAAAAATTGTTCCAAGTAAGGTAAGAGCGACCCCCCACCCCCAAAGTTTTTTTCTTTTCTTTTCTTTTTTTCTTGTTTGGGGGTGGAGGCTAAAGGCGGGGGAGGAGGGTCTTTCTGAAAGGTAAGGTAAGAGGGGGACAACTGCCTTGGAAGTGTGGGTGGTCTCAGAATTCTTCCCTCGACATTTGGGAGAACCCTCTGTACCCAGAGGCTGCCTCTAGTTTAACTGTGTTCAGAGTTCATGCAGTGGGGTAGGAGACAAAATTTTTACATGAAACGGCTGAGAAAGCTCCTAATGTTCTGGATGCCCACACACATAAACATACAGAGGAACAAACCCACATTCTCTGTCTCCTGGGAGGTCTATATCGACACCCACAACACATTAGATACCCACACAGATCCACCCAAAAGCTTATATCAACCAACACTTTGAAAATCTACAGTGTACCAACAGTGACAGAATTCAGGACCGTGGACAGGTACACAGCCTCCTCCCTTCAATGCAGAGGCTTGGAATTCCAGAGGATTTACTGGTTCTCACTTCAAGAGGTTTCTCTTTTTTTTTAAGGGTAAGGCCCTAACCATGTAATGTCGCATCTAACTTCATGAAGAAAATTGGAGGAAAAGGAAACAAAGAAACTCAATTTTAAAAATCTTCAAATCCTTTAAATAAAAACCCCATTCTCCATTCCCATCATCACGTAAGGAAAAGATTGCTCATAAAGGCACTACCAAGTTTCAGCAAGAAGTGAATTACATATGGTTAGGTTTTCTGTGCTCTGAAACAATTTTCCTTAGCCTTGATCCATAGATTTAGAGCCGGAAGGAACTTCAGAGACTAGTCCAAACCTCTCATTAAGAAACTTAGGGACAGGAAGATTGCAACTTGCTGAATGTCACATAGGTAGTAAGTGCGATTTTAATCCAAATCCTCTGACTCCAGAACTAGTGTTATTTTTCTTTTGCCTTTTCATAGTCATACTGAATTCTGTTTTGAAACAAATTAGCAATGCCCTGAAAAGTTGAAAATGAGTTGAAGGTTTACATTGAGTTTGGTTTTTAATCTGGTTATCATACAACTCTTTATATGGAAGTTAAATTGCATGTTTAAGGCCACTAAAAAGTCTAATTAAATAACAACAACAAGAAGAAGACATCAAAAAAGTTTTGTATTTAAATTCCTACAGTTCACAATTGCTTATTTTCTAGGGTGATGCACATTATTGTTCAAGTGACTGAAGGGTCATGGCTATCAATTCTATGATATCATTTCTTCAAGCCATATCAGTTCTGTGGTATACTCCATTTCTTTTCAGCCAAAGCAGTTTTCTTGGAGGTGTCTGTGAATAATCTAAATAGATAACTCATACTACTAAATAAATGTGCTATTTAATCTATTAATTAATACCTCATTTTACTTTCTGTTTCAGAAACACGTCATACATTAAAAAGTTGTAGTGAATGGAACATAAATAGAATCTAAATGGGAGGGGTAAATCAGAATGGGATGAGGGGTGTAGCCAAATATATTCCTTTAGTAAGTGTCTAAGAAAGAGCACTATGATAGGAATCAGAGTAAACTGGTCTAGGACCCAGCTCTACCACGGTAAACTTTGTGTGGCTTTGGACAGATTTCAACTTCTCTCAGTCTCATTCTCCTCAGATTCAAAGACGGGGTGACATTTATTTTACCTAGCTCATGATGCTACTATGAGGATAAAATGAAATAATGTATGTGAAAGTTTTTTAAAAACTGTAAAAGGCTATAGAAATATATTATTATCCTAGTCAGCGAAAATAATCATGATTTGCATGATTAATCAGTTTTCAAAATTCTAGTGGAGGACTTTTTTCCGAATGTCAATATATTCTTATCCTCATTTGAATGGCAACTATGTGGGTATTGGTATCTTTGAAGGACTGAGGGACCTTCCGACCCACCATGATGTCATCTGAACATATAGTTCTTCTGCTGATTGCATTCACATGTGCTGGCACATGTGATGTATTATTACTATGATGAATTGCTTTGCTGTCCTTGTGACAGATCAGTGTAATTTTAGGGCTACACAAAAATTTAAAAATAGAAAATGCTGACTCAATCTCAGCCTTCAGCTAATAACCCAGCTTTTATTTAAACCAATGACTTATTTGCTCCTTCTTATCATGACTCTATGAATGAAATTTCTAGGTTTGTAGCACTGAACAGTAAAGAGAAAGGACTTTATCAGGCTCACATAGAAATGTCTGGCATGAGAATTCATCAGATTCAGTCCCATACTCCAGAGCTCTAATTATTATGACATACTTCTCCCTACAGATGGTTTCCAATCTTTCTTCTTCCTTTACTCATGGTAATGTGAAATGCACAGAAGGCAAGTTGAAGAATTGAAGATAGGAATTCATTACTGTGACTCATATAATATGTTGTGACTTATATAATGTTTCCTTTTTATGTAGTATATTTATTATGAAAAATGAAGAACTTACTCTCAATTACAAACTCAGAAACCTGGAGTACTAAAAGGAGTAACTACTACTCAGATCACATAGAAGGAAGTGGAAAGACAAGGGAAAAAGTTGCCATGTTGTATCCTCATGGATAATGTTGTTTGCCCAGCACCAGATATGAAGTTCATTAAGGTAATTTCTTGTGATAACGAAATCGAATACCACTCTGCCTAGCTTTTACTCTGATTTGGATTCCTATTTTTCGGTGAGACTTATTTGAACAACAACAATAAAATCAGACTTCTTGGCAGACTATTTTAGAGATTGGCTTCATATTTTAGTTGTTTAATGATGAATTCCATGAATTTGTGATAGTTTATGCACATTAAAATGCCTAACAAAACAATTATAGTCCTATCTGAAGCCCTGTCGTATAAAAAATAATCTCAGGGTTTCCTACATAATTCTGTTTAGGTTTTAAATGTGCTCATCTTTCTCAGTAAAGAATTATGGTAATGAGAAGACATTGCAGCTTCACTAGTAAGGAAAACTCCATAGTTTATAATTCAATTTAAGGTATTCAGTTTAAACCTTATTTGACATAGAGCCCAAGGACAGCACTGTAGTAAGATCGTAGTGTAACATTTATAGCTATCCATGGGCACATATAATTGTAATTAATAACTGCTTATGTATGTGTGTATGTGTATGCATGGTACTATGGAAGGAATACTGGTCCTAAAATCAGAGGACCTGGGTTCAAAACTCACCATTGATGATTACTTTCTGTGTAATCTTGAGCCAGCTACAACCTCCATTAGCCCCAGTTGTCTCATATGTAAGATGAAGGGAATAGACAAAATGGTCTCTGAGTCTCCTCCATCTCCTGATCTATGATCCTATGTTATTATCTTACATAAGCATGTAACTTTTTAGCTAATGGAATGTTTTCACATTAATTATAGCAACCTTATACCAACCTTGTGAGGGGAAGAGAAAATATTCTCATCCTTTTTTAATAGATAAGAAAACTAGAGCTGAGAAAAGTCAAATTCAAAGTAATTTCAAATATTGAAGTGAACTTGTTTTCTGAGTCAGCTTTCTCATTGAGGATGAAAATGCTTACCTGACTATCTCATAGAGTTGTTATAGTATCAAATGGGATAAGGAGGAATGGATAGGTATTTCAGTGGATCGAAGACCTGAATTCAAATTCTGCCTCAGACACTAACTATGTGATCTTGAGCAAGTCACTTAGCCTCTTTCTTCTATTCCTCACCTTTAAATTGGGGATAATAATATAACCTGCCTCACAAGGTTGTTGAAAGTATCAAATGAGATAATACATAAAGTGCTTTCAAACCTTAAGGTGCTACAAGATGCATATGTAAGGTATTCACATAAGATCATAGATCTCTAGATTGAAGGAACTATTCAGGCCATTTAGTCTAGTCATTCATTATTGCTACCCACATAAGAGGTGATGTGAATTGCCTAGAGCTATGTTGTAGCTGGCCAGTGGCAAAAGACAAGATCTAAATCTAAGTATCATGCCTCACAGTCCAGTAATCATTCCATTATGTCACACAAGATTGACAGAAAAGAATACTATTAAAATACTCATTACTTTCAGGATTCATATTTTTTAGAAATTAAGTAAGGGTAATAAGACATGCCCATGGCCTTTCAATTCTCTAGTACAATCGTGTCAAGCTCAAATAAAACTGGAGGCCACCAAAAATATGAAAGGATCTCTGCAGATAGCATATTGACATAGAAAACCACATCAACATTATTCCTATTCTATTGTGTTATTCTTTATTTTGTTAAATACTTTCCAATTACATTTTAATCTGATTCTGGTGGGTTGCCTGTTGGCCCTGTGTTTGGCATCTCTGGTCTAAGGATCCTGAAAATAGTCAATGATGAAATACTTATGAAAAATCTCCAACTCTGGGGAGATGGTGTCCTCTTCCTCATTTCCATTGTTCCTCTATGCAGTGAATTTAACAGAGAAAGAAACAGAAACTCAATATCTGTCCTTTGGAATTCTACCAATGTACTAATCAAAGAAGTTTAAGATGATCCCACTATAACTTAAAGAATCACACTGTAGGGAGTGGTAAAGAGAAAGACTGAATTTCTAATGTATCTAGTCTACTTAGAGGTAAGGAAAGTTATATGGAAATTAAACTTACATAAACTCAAAGAATATTAGAGCTAGAAGGAAATTTAGAGAATAGGTGGATAAGTTCCATAACTTTAGAGAGAAAGAAATTGGGGCCCAGAGACATGAAATGATTTAGCCAAGGTCATAGACCTATTCAGTGGCAGAGTTAGTAGAACTTAGTACTTTATGATTTGAGGCAGCTAGGTAGTACAATGTATAGAATGTTGGACCAGGAGTCAGGAAACCCTGAGTTTTAATCCAGCCTCAGAGACTTACCAGCTGTATAAACATAGGCAAATAATTTAATATGTCCTAATTTGTAAAATGGGGATGATAATAGCATCTACCTTCTAGGGTTTTTGTGCAGATAAAATAAAATTTGTAAAGCACTTTGCAAACCTTAAAGTATTGTATAGGTGCTAGTTATTATTGTATTTTCCAATGGTATCTTATTTAATACTCCCAGTAACCCTCTGCAATAAAGATAATGATTTGTCCAAGGTCACACAGCTATTAATATGGAATAGTCAGTACCAGAACTCAGACTCCATCACCAGAACTTCAGTGCTCCATCATCTGGTCCAGGCCAGTATAGAAATAATGTAATATAATGTAATGTAATGTAATGTAATATAATGTAATATAATAACAATGATAAGTATATAAATAATTTGAGGAACATAGGCAACCTTTCTATCTGATCAGATAACAAGAACAACATTCTTCTTGCTTTAAAGGGATGTCCCAAAATTCCTGTTCCATTCCACTATTCAGAATTCATTTCTTTGGTTATTGAAGGTATTCTAGTCTTTACATGCCCCAATTAAAATACCATTATGTGAGCTTCTTGAGAGTACAATGACTATTTTGCTATTCTTTTTATAGTCACAGATCTTAGCACCATGCTTAGTGAATAGCATTTAATAAATGGGTTTTTTTTTCATTCCATTCCATTCCATTCTTTTATAAGCTAACATAATAGTAGGGAATGCTTTGACAAGTAGCAGGGTACTTAGGAGTAGAACCAGGGTAGGTACTTGTAAGGAGTAGTGGAGATGCAGGAATCAGAGCTGAAGAGGGGTTTGGGTTAGCACCAAAGGCAAATATTGGCTACTTTGCAGTGTTGAATGGGGCTAGAAGGGAACTGGTTTGCCAAGTCAAATCATTTGAATGTGGGGATATGAAACTCAGAGAATTTTAGTTGAATTTAATGTACATGGTATTATAAGAAATATTTTAGGAAGTAATTAGGTTCTCAGTTACCAACCAGCTATATGGAAGTTACTTCACCCCTTTTGGTCTTAGTTTCCTTGAATGTCAAATGACAGTGATGGTCTAAATGGAGCTTAATGGTCCCTTTTAGATATAAATTTCTATAACCTAACTAGAATAATAATTGCCAGCATTGGTTTATAGATATTTCCGGGTATTATCAATTACAGTAATATTGCTAGCATTTATTTAATGATTCAAAATTTGCAAAATGTTATACATATATTATTTCATATAATGTTCATGCCCCATTAAGTAAATCCTAATATTATTTCAGTTTTACAGATGAGGAAACTGAGACATAGAGAGATAGATTGACTTGTCAAGGGCTTCATGACTAGGATTTGAGTTCAGATCCTACTGACACCTTGGCTCTTGCCACTACACTATGTTGCCACTCAGTTTTCAAGGGATACCACGAAATTGTAAAAGGAAAAAAATGCAACTTAAGATGATTAATTTTGATTCATTCAATCAGGCATTTGACTTATACATGGCTTTTGCCTTTTCACTCTATAACTGAAGTTATTCAAATATGGAGAAAATATGAATACCCCTTTTTAGAGGTGGAGCAAAATCACAATATGTTTATCTTCTCTTTGGAAGAGTAATGATTCCTGTTAGCCCCAATACATTCTTACATAAATATGAATAAGGTATTGCTGAACATCTCACAACTTTGAGCAGCACAGAGAGTTCACTGTAGTCACTTTTGGGAATGATGAAGTGATTTTGGATAGGTTTCATGTCAAAGGGGAATCTTGAATAAGGGATGATTAGATAGGGAGGGGTAATATCTGTCTTTTTCCGTAGGCTTCTAGTATGTGAACAAAGAATATTTTTCTTAACATCACAGCTGTTTCCAGATAAAAGTAGGTGCAAGGATGAAACATTTCCATTTGGTCCCTACAGTATTTGGGGAATTAGGAAATGTGAAAACTTTGAAGAAGTCAGTCAAACAAGCCATTAGAACTTTTTCAGTACTAATTGTTTCTGGGGCTGCCACAAAAAGGAATTGAAGAGCTAATGAGTAAGAGAACCTCTAAATTATCTATGTAATAAACCTTAGCAAAAAGGGGTTCTTTATCATATTGCGTGTGTGTTCCAAATTTTTATTATGCAATGGAGTTACGGTAGGAAATCATCCACTGGTCAGGGAATAGGACCTTGCCTGAATCCAAAAAGGCAGACAAAGACAAAAGATGAAAAAGGCAGATCAGAGCAAAGGGGAGCCTTGAAAGCATGGATAAGCAGTTTAAATTGGAAGCAGGAAAGAGTGAGGAGATAGGCAGCCTCAAAGATAATAATGTCCATGGATGTAGGAGAAAGAGCGCAGCGTTTCCAATTGAATAGTCACTGAAAGAAAATCACAAAATGAATACAATAAAATCAACTGGTAATAACATCATACAAGAAAAATTTTGTCTGAACTGATGTCAGTGTGATGAGGATTTGATTCTGCATACACATGCCAAGTTTCCTCATTTTAATCAATTAAGGCATTTCAATTAGGAAGGACATAGTAAGGAAACAAATATGGGCAGGCTGCAAAATGACTCATGGACTGTGGAGAGTATTGTTTCAGAAGCTGGAGACTAAATAGAAATCCTGAGTTTGTAGATATTCTGCAGGATGGCATCCTTCCCTACGTAGCTCCTTTCATGACTGTAGTAACTGGGTGAGGAATTCACATACCACAGCATGAAGAATAAAATATTTCGGGCCTGGGAAACTTCCATATTTTTCTAAG